GATGAGGGTTACGAGGACTGAATGATGAAGAGAAACACACGAATAAGAGCCCGAATAACTAGAAATGTAACTTAGAAGTGTGGCAGCTTGGGCTAGTTGGTATGGCATGACGATAGTTATTGCGCGAGAACAAAACGACGACACAGAGACAAGAATGACACGAAAGACACGAGCGCTAACTTCCAACTGAGTTTATTGCGCAGAGCACGAAAATATATAGAAGAGACAGTGACCATGTGATAAAAACCATATGGAACATGGTGTATGTGGTGCATACACATACAAAGGACGACAAAGTATCTCGTAATACAGCTACAACAAAATACCTTTTTTTAGAAAGAAAGAGGGGGTGTGCTGGAACTGCGCAACTGCCTTTATTTGGAGCAGTATATTGCTTAGGATATAGCTGCAGTGAGTCCACATTATCATCTTGTGGTTTGGACCAGTAAACTCCAACAGTTACTATTGAAGCTTGCATGTCAAGCATTTAGATCACTTGCTCGCGCTATACAACACTTGCTTGCATGCCAAGAGAGTTGTATAGCGCAGGTGCGTTGCTGCCACAATTCACTCCCAAGTCCTACGTCACATTTGCTATCAGTTTGTTTTGCCTTACTATTGCTCAGCGCTGGTGATGTGGAGGCGAGTCCCCGGACCAAAGATCGATGGCGTATTATCACTAATGAGGGAATGTCATGCCAAAACTACTGCCTCTCTGAGTGAGATCAAGAGTGAAATCAGCAGCAAAAAGGATCGAGTTCTCATTCTAAAAAAACGTAAAAAACGCCATAAAATCGGATAACATTGATGTGGTGGCTTACTGCGTGATGAATGTCAAAATGAACATAGAGAGAACTAATTCTGCACTTAGGGATGCTGTAGACGACATTAACAAGCAAATGAAAAGAAATAACCGAATTATCAAAGGGCTTCCCGACGATGCAAAACCCGGTATCGCTTCTCATGGCCAACTTTCGCAGTATTTTCAGGAAACTTGACTTATTGAAAGCGATAATTCGTTCTACGTCATCAGATATTCTTGGCACAGAAACATGGCTTTCTGATTATATCAATAGTAGCGACCTTGTGCTCCCCTCATCGCTTGTAATGTTTCGCAAAGATATAGCTGTTTCTGGGGGCGGTGGTGTTCTTATTGGAGTTAAATAGTAATATGAGCCGTCTATCATTGCAGTTGACTCGACTCTAGCAGACATGTGGGTCTCCCTCAAACTCGTCACTTGCGGTGTGTGTTAGGTGTGTGCTATCGGCCGCCTGACTGCCGTGCGTATTTCACTGACCCATTCAACGAAGCACTAGAGCTGGTTACTAACAGGTTTCCGGACTGCCTCTTAATAATAGTTGGTGATTTCAATTACCCTGCGATAGATTGGCCAACAACAGCGGTGTCTTCACAGTCAAATCAGGCTAAACGCTTTTCTTTCGTAAGCTTACTTCCCTATCGTGATTTCGCGCAGCTAGTTCATGACCCTACACGCGGTAATCGCATTGTAGATCTTTTATTTATGAACAGCCCCGATATTGCCAAAACACATGTTCTAGAATCTATCAGTGACCATAACATAGTAGGATGCTCTTTCGCACTTACTCCTACTGACAAAACAGGCAGTAAAAAATGCATTCTTAACTATGCACGAGCTGATAATAAGAATATCAACCAAATGCTGCAGCCATTCTCAACCAACTTCCAAGAAAACTTGGAGAACCGTTCTATTAAACTCAACTGGGTCATATTTCGCGATGGAGGATTCCTGCGTGCCGAAACTGATCGTTAAAACACGTGACGATGACCCGTTGCTTACACAAGAAGTAAGACGATGTTTATATGAGAAATAAAGGTCGTACAAGAAGGCATCACAAACTAACACCCCATTTGACTGGTAAAACTACAAATCCATATTGTTATTGGCAGAAGAAGCTATTCATGACGCCAAAATGAGTATTTTCACTTCACATTTCCTAACATGTAAAAAACGACTCTCAGCATATTTGAAAACTCGTAAATCCAAATTATAATGTGATAACGGTGTTTTATTATTAGTAGCTGAATTCACAAAGGCTTCCCACTTAAAAGAAGTCCAGGTCCCAATATAATCAGCGCCAAACTTTAAAGCTAACGAAGCATAATTCAGCCTCCATACTTTCTCTAATATTTCAGCAATCCATCTACACAGGATGTGTACCAAAAGACTGGTAGTCAGCTTTCATAATATTTATATTTAAGTCCAGGGACAGTTCCCTTCCAAGCAACTACAGGCCCATATCGTTAGCGTCAATTAGCTGCAAGCTACTGGAACACATAATACAGAAACATGTGATAGCGCATCTAAACAACAACAACAACCTACTTCTTAAGAACCAGCTTGGCCTTCGCAAAAATCTGTCTTGCCGAACCCAACTTTTTGAATTAGTGACAGGTATTCATCAATCACTGCACTAATCACTGTTCGTCGACACAATGTTCATCAACTTTTTGAAGGCATTCGATTGCGTCCCTCACATCCACTTGACTTTAAAAGTAGGTAATCTGCAGCTAGACCCCAAAACAACAAAATGTATGGAAAGTTTCCTAAAAAAAAGAAAACAGTTTGTCGAAATTCAAAACTGTATATGAAATAGCAAACACGTAATACCGCGTGTACCACAGGGGTCAGTACCGAGTTCACTTTTATTTTTGATCTACATCGACATAGTGACCGACATAAATGCAACAGTCAGGTTGTTCGCAGATTACTGCGTAATCCATAAAAAAATATCGTCTCCCACTAACATCATTCACTTCAGTCCACCTTTAAGAAACTGACAGATTGGGCTCTGCATGGCAGACGCAAGTTATTACAGATAAAACAACGCACATTAAGTTTATGACGGCCGCGAATTCTCAGAGCAACTCATACACACTTGACAATATAAAAATTGTCCCAATTTCCACATATCAATACTTAGGTGTTATATTCCTTTCGACGTTGACCTGGAAGAACCACATAGAGTGCACAACTTCTAACGCCCTAAAGAATCTCGGCCCCTCGAGACGACGCCTACATCTTGCTAACTGGGACACCAGATTAATAGCCTATTATTCACTCAATCGTCCTTCATTTGAATACGCATTTATTATGTGCATCCACATCATGTCTCCTGGTCTGATCACCTCGAAGCTGTCCAAAACAAAGCAGCGCGGTTAATCCAATCATCTTATTCTTGATTTCAAAATGTCACAAAACTAAAAAATACTCATAATATGCATTCACTCGCCTTGCGTCGTACACTCGCCCGGTTATCCTACTTTCACACTCTTCTACCATAGCACCACGTCTTTTTCACGATCTCATATTATACCCGTGCACCACATCTCGTCTAGATTAGACCACGCCTATAAAGTCTATCCATTTTTTGCTCACAGAAAAATACCGGAAATCACCTCTTGCACTAACAATAGATCAATGGAATTCACTGCCATCTAGCATTGCCACTATCTACAGTCATCAGTCTCTTGAATTAGCGCTGCACTCGTTTCTTAAGCGCGATAACACTTTTCAATAGATCAGATAATCGTATTTTATACTGATCTTTGTGTTCATTTGTGAAATGTTGTTGTCTATTTGTGAAATGTCACTAGTTATTTGTGAAATGTTATCGTTTCTGCATTTTATTTGTAGATTACCTTTTGCTGTATTCTGTATTCTGCCTTGCTATATACCTGAAATACGATTGAGTTCACTCCTTATAACGCCCCCCCCCGCCCGATGCGATGCCTTCCGAACCTTTAGGGTATCGAAATAAACATCACTCGACTAACTCATAACTGTCAATGACTCGAGTCCATTACATGCAAGATGTGTTTTGCGACGAATGTTGCGGCATCGATTGCACTAGCAGACTGGAGTCGGTATTCTAAGTAGCGTTGGATAGAACTCGAGGAAGCGCCAGCGAAAAAAAAAAATCGCGAAAAAGTAAAGTATCTCAACCTCCGATGACAAGTTCGAGATCCTGTTATACAAAATAAATACCACCTTCAAGGCCACGTGGTACTTTTAACATCTCTTCTAGGGTCTACAAGGTATCGAGTAAAATCAGGACTGCTCCACCGGTTCCAAGAGAAGTACATTGTCATCGGACGCAGCCGACAAGACTCTCTCCATGATGTCGGCGTCAACGGTGTCGGGCGCTTTTCAACACATGGACGATTCTGCATTTCTGGGAATCTCTTCGCCGCCATTCGCGCGTCGCCAACTCACGACCTGCCTTCGCGTGGCCTAGCTGAAAAAAGTATTCTTTCGTGTTTGAAAACCCGTCAGCACATTTAGAACAAAAAGTAAAGAGGACCCCGACATTTTTTTTCCAATCTGGGCTTTAGCGTTCCAAAGCCACGATACGATGAGAGACCCCGTAATAGAGGGCTTCGAAAATTTCGACCACCTGGGGTTCTTTAACGCGCAGATTCATCTAAGAACACGGGACCCGAACACTTCGTTGGCCTTTCGCTGTCGTCATTTTAACACTGATTATTTGACCTTGTCATGTGTCGATTGCACGGCTTGGTAAGAAGGGGTGAACTGCAACATGTGATAGATGTTGCAGCGGGAAAGGTGGGGCAGTGCCTTGATTATAATGCTAAGATCAAGTCCTGCTAAAAAGGGTAAACGAATAGGAGCCATTTTTGCCAAAAGAGACAAGAATGAGGGTGGACTCAAAGGACCAGCCAACTGGAGGCGCACCAAAGGAAGCGAGCACGTGAGGCTAACGAGAAATCGCACCAGAATCCGGCTGTTCACCGGTGGGAGTTACGGTGGAGTACAAAGGAGTGTGTCAATTCATTGAAAATGCATTCATCCAGAATGGCAAACACTGCTTGTAGTCCCGAGGTAAAGGAGCTAGCCTATGCAGGCAATGCAACAACAGCCTGACAAAGGCGGACATGAGCTTCGCCATTTGAACGCTTTTCACACAGTGGAACTGGCTGTACTTTTTTTTCTACTCACCTCAATTTGCTCTAAATCCAGGAAAGTGAGCGAAGTTGTCTTCTCTACGTAGCCACCAATCATGCGTGCATCTTCTTCGCTAAACCACATGTTCGAAAGATTGAGGTAGGTGACGTTCGTCATGCTTGCGATTGCCTCGCTACAAACTGTTGCCGAGGTCAAAGGGATCTGAAGTGACAAAAAGTAAGCAGCAGGTGAACAGGGCACACTAGTGTCTTCTCTGTTGTTACTCCAGTGACGCCAGACAGTGTATCCTTTCAAGAACGGTATGGTATACAGCCCTGAAACAGTTGCACTTCAATTGCGATTCCCTAAAATTGCAAACACATTCTTAACGAACAAATCACAAGGACTGCAGATCGGGCGACTTGGTTTATTATGAATTGCGATGATTTAGCGCGGCTTTTTTTTAGCATGAAAAAAAAAATAACGACCGGCCTGGTCGGAAGGCGCAGCACAGTCACAGCGAAAGCTAGACGAGCGGCCTTTCAGAGCCTTTTCAAAACACTCTTGTCTTCTGTTGTCGCCTAGGATATCTTGGCTCATAACCACATGGGGGATTGGCCACACTGTACCTCATAATAGATAATTTTTTACAAAGCTTGCTACAAAAACGAAAGAGAAATTAGATAGGAACAATAATAATGTTTCTTTAAAAAACGTGAAAAATGTGGAGAGGAATGCGATAAACAAGAATATATAAAACAAATGAACAAGAATGAGGAAGGGGGACAAAGGATTGGATATATCTGGCAGTACCACTGAATGACTTTATGCAGCTCTGACAGAATAGCACTGCGGCCCACTCATTGTGTGCCTACTGCAAGCACAGTTCCTTGAAAGCCACTATAGGACATTATTATCAAAATTTTTCTGTAGTAGGCTGGCATTCACTATGCTATTTTTATCATTCTTCTGAGAAGCGCGGTATCCGCTAAACACTTCCAAGAAAATGTGTGCCAATAGGTCATTCAGTGGCTGACGACGATGAGGAATTACGGCTGAAGTGGGTATGCACCACAGTTAATAGGTAAACAATTAAGAACAAGCTTTTGTAATGGGTTGGAGCATTCGTCCTATTTTATTGGACGCTTTTCGCATTGTGCGACGGCTGGTTGTTTTTTCGCTGTTCAACAACGCTCTATAAGTCGTAATAACACAATAGCTTTCCCGGCATAAAGCCTGCTATGTTTGCCAACAAGTCTCAAGCACCAGCGTAGCTCAGTAGTAGAATACTGGGGGAACTTCTAGACAGCTAGAAGGCATCTAGAAGTTTTCTCTGGTACGAAGTTCTAGACTTCGTACCAGCGAAGTCTCAAGCAAGCAAGGTGAAGGCCAAAGCTATTCTGATATGCAAAGATCTTGAACTATTAAATTTTCCTATGGCTATTAGCACCTCCAAGCAAGCAACTCTGTCAGTGTTCTTCAGGGCAAGAACACACATGGTGGGCATGCCTTTCAGGTACATTGCGAGTGAACGCGACTCGTGGCAAATGCATGCAGCTAAATTTCTACTAAAACACCTTTGCACGGTAGAGGTAAGGAACTCGTTTGCAGTGAAGAACCTCGAATGACGTTACGCAGACTCTGTACTGCCTCCGGGGTGGTGCGTACGAATTTTCAGTCAATGGTGATGACCTCTTCTATGGTGTGTCACACACAGAGCTATTCAAAACTGTTTGAACATGTATTGAAACGAACGGAGTTATAGCGTTTGAGAGGGCCGCTGGTGCCTCTCTAGATAACTTCATGACGTTGTTAGAATTTTATCTACGCTCAATCTTTGTATCACTTGACGGCAACCTTTACGATCAATGAAAAGGGATCTGCATTGACTGTTGTTTTGCTCCAGTGTTGTGTAACATGTTCTTAGCTTTCTTTGACTCTGTTTTAGCTCAAGATCTTAACGATGCAAAGATGCTGAAAGTCTTTCGGTATGTGGATAATTTTTTAGTAATTTTAAACACTAATCCTTTTACAACCACCACTAGTCCAGTGGACGAAATATTAGCACTTTTCAGACAAAATTCTAATGGCCTATCGTTTGCGCATGAGCTTCCCATTGACAATAAATAGCGGGCTTTGTCTTGAGGATCATGTTCTCAGAGCAACACGTGTGCCCACGTTCACGCAAAGAACTCTTACCTTTTGACACGGCTCATTCTAAACTTGTAAAAAGGGTCATTGCGACCAATTGTCTCGAAGGAGTGCTGATAAAATCTTGTCCTCACAGCATGCAGGATAGCTACTTGAATCAGGCTAGGCGCTGCATTCAGCTGGTTATCCTAACTGTCATTGTATCCGTTTCCGAATCCTGCTTTCAAAAGTTGAAGGGCACACGATAATGTAGGCAACCCAGGGATAAACGACCCATGGTTGTACAGTGTGTTCATAAGGTAGCCCAAAACCTTAAGAACTTGGCGAACAGGTAGAATGTGTATGTTTTTTCTGCGCCACGAAAGTAGGCTGGCCTGTGCCCACGTATTTCTAGAACACCTGTGGGAAAATACACGCTTCGATGTATGTGGTTTGCGTGGTGGGTGTGGTGTAATTTAACCGCACTTAGTTGTGGCCAGTTTTACATCGGCCAGGCTAGACGGCGTTTGAACGTAAAGATCAGGGAACACTAGCTTTTATTTCATGGTTATTCAGGAGCACATTTGCCTGCACATTCCCGCTCCTGTTCTTGTGCGGCGCGGTTTTCAAGCGTTTCTGTCCTCGCAAAAAGCTCAGATGCTGAGGCCCGTGAAATAATGGAAGCGTTCTGGATAAAGAAAAAAGTGACTTGTGTATAAGTCACACGTCAGTGGTTTTGCGCATGTCTGAGTTTGATTTTTGCACTTCGTTGTCTGATTAGATATGCCTTTGGAATGTTTTCGATTTTTATTTGTGGTCATGTGACTAGGTTAGTGCACTTTGCGAATGTTCGGTGCGGCTATATAGTTCCTGCGTTTCTCCTGCAAATAAATCAGTTGCGAGTTAACGCATTTTGTTTGTGTGTCTTTCTGTGGTGGTTTAGGCGTCTAGAAGTTTCTCTCAGTATGATGAACCAACTAGCCCAGCAACAAGTACTTCTAAGGTTGAGCTGGTACCGAGTGGACCCGCGTTCGGGCCCCTTGTGTTATTAGTGCCAGGTTTTTTTTTTCTTTTCAAATTTCACGCGATGTGGTTACAGACAACGGCAGCGGCGGACAACGGCACGTGACCCGTGTGGTGATCTTATAACAACTTTCGCTGTAGCAAAGAAAAAAAAGGTAACGCCGAAGAAGGTTAACAGGAGATGAACGATTTGACTGCTTCTATGTACCTGTCAAGCTGCATATATCCTTGGCATATGTCAAAGTGGCCATATGAGGACGTGAGTGCGTAAGACTTCATGAAAAACATCATTCTTATGTCACTATCCCAGGAATTCTTTCCCACCATTCATGCGTGGCAAATACTCACTGCCACGGGCCCATGTAATGAGGGTATGCGTCAAAGGTGCATTATTCAGTCTATTATTGGACCAGGCTTTCAGCAATCCTACGCGACAGCGCAAAGAAGCGCGTGCCGCAGAAAATGTGTTGCCATTGGCGGCGTTCACGATTGTTCACTTATGTTTATGGCTTGCATACCTTCATGGCTGTAAATAATACAAACAGTGGCTCCAGCCATAAGCTAGCCGGGGCATTTAGCATAACAGTGAAGTATTCTGCCCCAGAGCTTCGCAAATGTAACAGCTTACATCTTAAGAAGACTATTGAGCTCCACACCAACACAACACCAAATATGTTTGCACTGTTGGTTGTCTACTTTGATAACACATCAGGACATTGACGACATCGTTACATTGCATCAGTACACATAGGAATCAGCAAGTTATTGCCTAGTGTTGTGCTAACGCGCCTATGACCACTACTTATGATGTGCTTTAAAGTATATTTTTTTCTCTGTTTTTATTTCCACAAAATTAATAGTGACGTCTCTGCTGCTACGTGAGTGCCGACCTGACGCAGGCCTCCACTCGCAAACCATTGTACTTGGTGGGCCTGATGAGCGCCCGATATGTGCGGCCCTACTCAATCAATCTAACTCGTAATGCTTGCCTGCCTCAAAACTAAAACAGCGCGACATGTCGTACTGGCTGTATACTTTGCACGAAAGGCCTTCCAACAGTGACGGAACGTATGGCCGTCGGAAGAGAGAATTATCGCAGGGTGACTGGTATTTCCGTGCCACGAAAATTTTTGCTAGGAAAACAGCAAGCATGGGTTTTCAAGTATAAAAAGACCAAGGTGGGAAATGTGGAAGTTATTTTCGTGCGACAAGGTTACATGTGCAAATGAGGTGGCAATGAGGATTAGTTTGTTCGTATTGATGCATGGGAATTGGATCGTGAGCAGACTTAGGTACACCCGCAGTATGATTCTATTTCGTATTCCGTTTTCTTTTACTGAATTCCCCTCTCCTCTTCTTTTTTTTCTTATATATGTTTGCTCACGATCAAAAACTATTTGTTAGTTTGCGCATCGTTCTGTTATCTCTCGTTTTTTTACCTTACACTGCAGCACGACAACAGCATGAAGCATAAATATACTGCATCATAAGAAATACTTTCCCTAAACTTCTTAATTTGCTTATTTCACAAGTATAACAAGCGTAACAGCAGCTCACCATTTCTGCAGTTTAGCGTCTCTTTATACTAACGGCACAGCATATCACGCCGTCTTCGTACTAAATACATCCCAGTACAATCACCAAGTAGCCCCTCGAGAGCTTTGCAGCTTATCTAAACCATCACCTGACAAATGATGTCGATGGCAGCTTGCTTGTAAACCAATCGCTTAACTCCTTCGGCACCAGTCTTGAGGGCGTCCAACAGCACATATTTCTCGACTACCGTAATATAATGGTCCAAGCTTACTTCTGTAACGCACCTGCATCCCGAAAAACGGTCGTCACAACACACAAATTGCATGAAACTTCAGCAGGCATGTTTTACTGTAACTCTTCAACTATAAGAACCTGCTGCACTCTTGGCAATACCTTATAAGGAGGAAAGAGAGAGATGAAAGGCAGGGAGGGGTAGTGCATACGACTTTGCAGTAAAGTGGAAACGTGGGGGAGTTGGTATTGGATCATGTTTTACTGTAACAGGGCACAGCAAAAAGATGAGAAGAAACGATGCACACAACAAGTGCCGTCTTCTGCCCGATGACAAGCTGAGGATTAGCAATCGCGCATGAGGCCTCCAACAGCACCTAACAAGCAGCTGTGTTTCCCTTGCCGTTCTCAGTAATTTCCATTGTTGCTTCCGTATTAAGCTTCACGCACCTCTCGCAACACTGCCCCTTCGATCGCCCCATTTTTGACCGAGCGATGACATGGAGTGATTCATCAACACGTGATATGTGATGGCGTCATGGCAGCGTCACGCACTGAGTCACAACGTCACGTTGTCAGTGACGTACGCCGCGTGGGTAATTATACATTTTAACTCAATTACCCTGTTTCGCTCAAAGAACCATTTAACGAGGCAGTTAAGCTTTCCGCCTTACTGACCACTTAACGAGGCAGTTCATGTGTCCACCTTTGAAACATTTTATTCAACCCCTTTATTCATGAATTATCAATAACATTGTAGCCAGAAGTAACACAAGAACGAGCGAAGAACACGGGAATTGTCCACTATTCTTTCTTTGTCCTTGTCTCTCCGGTGTGGAGATCCACCCTTTACATAAGTTGGACACATCGGGAAAGCGTCAAGTTCACCACGCCTTTCCCTTTCTTACTCTCTTTCCTTCTAGGTAGCGGCGGGCCGCAGAGACATCTGTGGGCTACAGGCTGAAAGTTGCCTAGACATGGCTTCACTGGTTCCTAGAAAGGTACTAGCTGTTGCGTCTTTCTTGAGTTTAAGCTTTTAAGCTTGTGTTCCACGTCATGCCTCGGTGTCATAGATGTCCGCGACAGGTAAAAAAAGTTTGTTTTTATAATCTGTATTATCATGACCAGCACTTTTCTTAGACAAGCACTATTGCCCATTTCATTGGATCGTAATAGAGATTATTCCACCTATTTTACAACACGTTTTGTTAAAGTAATGGCTCCAAGTAATTAGAAACACTTGTGGACAATGACGTATGCCACATCACTGCAGAAGCTAATCTTGCAAACTAGAATGGCATGCTTTACAAAGTTCACTTCTGCCTCACAGTGGCTATTTTTAGTTTCTACCTCTATGCGCTTTCAAAAGAAAGGTGTTGCAGTGTTAATAACAACGAGGTTATAGAATCAACCTCCACAACAATGTAAGCTTAGGTAAAAGAACAGTTAGGCAGTGAGACAACTCACTTTGGTACACTTCTGAGGGCTTTGGAAGCAAATTTCGCAACGAATTTTCGTGCCCACGTAGCTCTGATTTGACAAAGACTAATGAACTGCTTGGCTTAGCGCCTTCAAGAACGCCGTTTTGCCTGGCCTTTTAAGAATTAATACGAAGTGCATGCGAATTTTGTTCTTACGTATACTAACGCATACCATACAACACAAACAGTGACACCTGGTGTCACGCGACATGTGCTTTTCGACGAATTCGGCATATGTGTTGATCAAGTGCAAGACGAAATGTGTACAAGCACCCCCAAATTGCAGAAGCGTGACTTGAAGGGCAAGTTGGTACTGGTACGAGATACTGAGGGGGGACACAGCGCGAAAGCGTGACGAAAAAAAAGAATGACCAGGCAAAATAAGCATTGATGAATTGTGGGGAAATCCATTACACCACAAAATCTATAGGTGAATAAAAAAGGACTTAAAGCCATCACATGCACATGAAGACGAAATGGAAGCAGAACCCCCAATACCTGTGCTGTTTCAGCAGCACGTGGATTAGTAGAGAAGCACGAAGCACGTCTTGCATCAGCCGGCTTCTTTTCGGGCCACTCGTAGCCCTCAAGCACGAGCTCACCCCACATGTACTCCGACAATTCGATGCAGCTCTCGGCGAGAATGCCGTTCCACAGCTCCACATCGGACAAGATCCAGCAGGGCTTCTCGTTGGGCTGCCACGTGCAGGGTCGTTCGAAACAGACATCACTGTGCAAGCTTCCACCGCTGTGGCCATCCGCATCGTCACTCCCAGCCTTCGCCCGTGCCACTGAAAGTGGTGAGTGACGTGCAATTGGTATTTGGGACAGAACGTAACGAGTGCTTTCGCGAACAAGCCGGCTCTTGTGTGTCCATTGATCCACCATTGTGACATTTACAACAATCACTATGTTCATTGCGGTACATACACTCGATGCCTGCCAGCATGAATCTTGAATTTAGGCTCACGCACACGAAAAATGAATAGTCAACCACCCGTTTGTGGCACAAATCCAAAAGGAAATCCGTGCAAATTTCTCAGAAATTGAAGCTTTTTTAGCTGCCAAAAAATTGGTGCTGGTCCGGGGATCAAGACAAATTACTGATTTGCTCGTTTATTCATTTGCATTGCTAATTTTTATTGCTTGTAAGTTCAGACATGGTAAACAAGAACTAAAAAACTTCAGCGAAGCATTAGTGCGGCCCATACACGTAAAGGAGAAGCGACTCAAGCGGGGTTTCCCGTGCCACCCCCACTACAGGCAACTCACAAGACTATACCGTGCGTTCACATTTAGTTCACAAGTAGTGTATACTGTCTTGTATCAAAAACACGTTGACCTTTTTCTTTAAGTATGTAGGCAAAGACTGTAGAATTTTTCATCATCATCTTATAGGCCTGTTTTGTTCATGGCCTGCTGTTTGAAGGCTTCGTTCGAGTCTCAATCATCTAGAGCTTGTCCTTTTTGTGCGAGCTGAGTAAATTGTACTTCAGCAAGCTTCTTAATTTCAAGATTTCATCTGAGTGTCTTTCTCTGCCGGATGTCATTTGGCAGTAATCTTCTTGCTCTTACTGGTGCTCCGGTTGCCTGTTCGACGCATCACTGGACCAGCCGAGGTCTAGTTCTCCGACTTGATGTAAACCGATGCGCAAAACCCCCGCTGGCCGTCAGACCAATCTGTAATCCTCCGATATTTTACTGTTACTCTATTTTACGTTCTATTCCAATGTAGTTTTTTTTTCTCTTATTTTGGTTTTTATTGTCTAATTGAACCCCACATGTTAGAACTGACAACATGCCAGTACTTGCAGTCAGCGTGTATAAACTACAATCTCTTTGAATCAGTGATATTATCTGCCCGAAAATAAAGGTGAAACATGACACGACGCACTTGGTGCAAATATAGTCAGCACTGGGTAAATGGTCTCACATCTCGAGATTGTAATATAAATCGATTATATTACGCAAAAACTGCATATAATACGCAAGAACGTCTAGATTTATGTGTCCCTAAACGTGGGCTCCATGTACGAACAGCATGTTCAGCCTGATGTGCTGGCGCTTGAGAAAGTCACAAACTACGCCGAGAAAACGTGGTCAGTTCCACATTGCTTCGCCATCCAGCGCTTGTGCTGCAGGTGACTGCGCGGTAAATATTGCTCAGGAGAGACGAACAAACAATGTTGTAATTACAATATTTGCACGGTCAGAGTAATTGGGGTAGAAACAATCAAAATCTTCCACTTCGTCCTCTAGGTTACCGGCACATTACATTAACCTCCGGTGTCGAAGGAACCGACATTGGTGCAGCCGAAGAAAGAGGGTAGTGGAAATGTCCACTATACACGTTTGTTGGTGATGTGCGGTGTACGATAAGGCGTCAGACGGACAACAATAATGATGTCGGTGCGGGGTTGAGTGGATGAGGTCGAAGACAGTTTTAAAGATCATAGTGTTTTTTGGGGACCTTCGACGCAAATATTTCTCGTCCGTCCGTCCGTGCGTCTGTACATTTGCTCTTTGTCCACCCTTAACGGTACCCTAAACAGCACCAAATTGACCAATCTTCGAACGGCCGACCCCATCCGCAGCGCCCACCAATATTGTTCAAGGTTCAGCGTTTATACTTGTGCGATTGTCAATTAAAAATCAATTATTGCGCATATCTGCATGACAACATGACAAATATATGTATGTGTATTTTTACTAGAAAAGGCATACATAAGTAACTTCAAGTATCGTGGCCTTTATAACGCTGCGCTGGCCATGCAACGCTTGCACGTAATGGCAAGTGTTTCCAACGCTTTGCTAAGAAACACGGTGGTGGCACCTACCCGTCGATTTGCGTTCTACAACTTGTCACCTCAGAGACAGGCGCGCACGGCGCGCGCCCCGTTTTCCAGGATAACTGCCAGATAGTGCTCATGTCTCACATGTGACGTGACTTGATGTGCTCATTCGCCTCCGCTGCACGCTCGGGACACTAACGCAGCGCCTCCAGAATACCATTCACCGATTTTCTTGCGCAGAACATCAAATAAACGTTTTATTCACTCTCCCGACTCGACGATAGTTGTGGTGTAATATGCAGATACAGGGCCAATTTTTTTCAATTTCATACGTGACGTTGGTCACTTAGTGGCGCACGCGGTATGGTCCTATATACGGGGACAGTAACTTCTCCGAAAGCCCAACACGGCGTGCTGGAGACCACAGGGGGACAAGAGATCCCGAGAGAAAGTGCGCGTTTCGATGACGGCTGCCGTAATGAGATTGTTGTCCCCGCTTGCGAGTCAGTCAATCGAACGCGCGCACATTGATATGCATGGTCGGTGCGGGCTTTAGATTCTTGAAAGTATTCAGTAGGTGGATACGCCGAAGGAGGCATCGTGTCCACATGCAATGCTGTATTTCGGCCAAATAAAAAAGGCGTATAGCTGGCCTGCTCCTGCAGTGGTGTGTTATAGGCGAAAGTGTAAAAAAAACGCGATGCTGCACCCAACTCTGGTGATCGGCAGACACGTATATTGCCTGCATGTGTAATGGTTCGCTTTGTCCGCTCCGTGCACATGGTAGTTAGCTTATGCTTGGTCGAACAAGACGTTAAATATCATTGATGACCCTCGAAAAAATGTACCTGGCATGGTCCATTAGGAGCTCCCGTGGTGCTCCGTGCTGCAGGATGACGTTAAGGAGCAAGAAGTCTGCAACGTCAGTCATGCAACTGCTGGGAATTTTTGGAGCGAGGCATAGGCAACTGACCAAGCTATTCCAGGCTGGCATGATAAATAGGTTCATATGGGACGTCAAGGGCTCAAAGAAGGCCAGAAGGCGGTAGTGTTGACTTATTCCGGCACGACAAAGGTCGCACGAGGTCAGGTAATGGGGTACCGACCTATACAATGCTGGCCAGTAGAACCGACGGCGCGTACGAGCATGGGTGCGGAAAACATTAACGTCACCCACCGTCAGCCCGTCGTGAAGCTGGGCCAGAACAGATATACGAAGGTTTACCGGTATCGCAAGTAAGAAATCAAAGACCATCAGGTACCAAATCGCAACGAAGAAAGGTGCAGTCACGTAGCACAAAGAGCCGAAGCGAGAAATCAGGAGCTAGGGAGTTGACGCTGTCAGTTATCTTTTAAGAGCCTGCTCACGGCGTTGCTCAGCAGAAATGTTGAAAATGTCATTTATAATGAGCGCAGACAGAATGGTATTATTCACTGAAGGATTTGGTGGGTCTAGAGGATAGCTGGACAGGCAGCCGGCACCTTTATGCAAGCGGCCAGTCTTGTAGCCGACACTGAACATCAACTCTTGAGGTCTTAGTGCCCAACAACCAAGGCGACCAGAGAATTACTTGAGGGAAGACAACCAGCAGAGGGCGTGGTGGACACTTACAATGGTGAAGGTTCTGCCATACAGATATGGGTGAAATTGTCTGACGGGCCAAACAAGAGCGGGGTACTCTCTGCTCTTGAATAATTCACTCAGCTGTGAAGGGAAGGCTGCTGGCGTACGTAAGCAATGGCGCGATCCTGAACACGTCAGTTTTGATCGAGTACAGCGCCGGTGCCAAGACCACTGGCATCGGTACCAACTTCGGTAAGGTTTAGGTGATTGAAATGAGCCAACACAGGGGGCGACATGAGCAGGATGTCAAGATCAAAAAAGCGGATGCTTGCTGATGACCCCAAGAGAAAGGAATGTCCTTTTAGAAAGGGCTTGATAGGGACGGTGAAGTGCCTGCGAAATCTTAAACAAAAGGCGAAAATAAGAGCACACGCCAAAAAAAGAACGAGCGAACATCCTTGGAAGAACGTAAAATAGGGAAGTTGGTGCCGGCGAGTATTTTTGCTGGATGGAGTACAGGTACTGGAACAGGGAAGTGGGCTCTCTTTGGTGAAGGCTTTGTGGTAGAGTATCTCCGCAAACATGCCAATTTCATTTGTTCCCGGCAGCGTTTGCGGGGTGCAGCACGTAAGACATTGAGATGCTTCTTGGATTCTGAACCATGCTGCGGCATCGGAAGAACTACTGTTTCACGCCTCTGTGCCAAACACGCTACGTGTTTGTGAAGAGTGGGCCGAAGCTGTCGTTTAGCGTCCCGAAAGATCGTAATAGGCGTGAAGAATGTGAGAACCCGCAAAGAGTGGACAGTTCCCTGGGAGACACCACTGCATGTGCGATCAATCGGTATGTGGGGGTCCGAAAACCACCATATGATTATGAGACGCAGTCAAGTTATCACGCGCTATGTTTGAGGGCTCAGTTATTATCCTTGTGCGCTGATCTGTGTGTTTTTAGCCACAACTCTGCCGTCAAAATGATCTTCACATCAACTTCTACTGACGTGTTGCGCCACAGAAACATCATTGCCGTTGTGAACCTGTCTACGAATCGCACTCGTATTACAATCCATCATGAATCAAAAACTCGTCCTTTTAACCATTTTGCCAAGTTTTTTAGGTTTGCAAGCTTACGTGAAAAAAACACATAACGATGAGATTGATTTGATTGATTGACATGTGTAGTTTAACGTCCTAAAACCACCATATGATTATAAGAGGCGCCGTAGCGGAATCCTCTGCATAATCGCAACCACTGGGTTCTTTAACGTGCACCCAAACCTGAGCACAAGGGCCTACAGCACTTTCGCTTCCTTCCAAAATGCACATAAAGATGACATAATGAGAGTAGGTGCTCCTTACCAGTCTTGCCACGCCGTTTTTTGGAAGCACTGGAGGAAGTAGAAGACAAAGAGGATGGTTTTTGGCTAGGGTTGGGCTTTCTGGCATCCAAAGAACGATGGAATTCTTCGAAGATGGAGGTGACATCACGAATACTCGGCTTGGAGGCTACGCACAGGTTCTGAAGGTGCGATATGTAGGGACGAGTTATGATACTGATGTCTGCACTCTGCGCTGATGGTGACGTCATGCCGCTGAAAAAAAAAGCACATACAGGTCACAGGCCATGAAGCAGATAATATGGACGCAATTGTCAGGTTTTTGCGTAGTTGTGAAATCCAGCCGTCACTCAGCTAAATAAAGAGCGAACTATACAGCAAACGGGTTTTGGCATTATAAAAAGTTTTGAGCTCGTGTCGCAGTGTGATAAGTACTACACAAGACCCCCCCTCAAAAGAAGCTTGTAAGGTGCGTATATGGATAAGATGGTTGTGACCTCATTCAATCTCAGATCCTGCTCGCATTTGATTTATATGCGAGTTTATATGCAGCTGCTAGATTAGTTCAGCACTTCAGGTTTCTTCTGTCTAAAGTGCATTTGGTGTTTTTATATCTAGATGACATCGTAGGTACCCGAATTCGCGTTACCAGCATGTCATCTTGCGACGAAAAGGAAAGCTGCTCACTTCTCATTTCTCTAGCCACCGGCATTCGTTATTAAACTAATTCATTCCCAGAACCTGCTCGCATTTGTTTTATATGTGAGTAGTGATGCATCGTCAGGTGTAAACTACTACTAAAATTGCTCCGTTTTCGAGATACACAGGTGATTTGTGGTGTGGAAGGTTTAACAAGGGTTGTTCGCAATGTGCACTTGCGTTTTTGTAGCCGCGCTGAAATGACGACGCTGGAACCTTTCCCTGAACCCAAGACAATGCAAATACGGCAACAAAACAAGCAGAGGCAGGTACTATTATCAGCCTTGCAGAATACTTGATTGCGCGTTATGTCGAAAGAAAGCTATGAGTTTCGGTGCATCAGACGCAACATTCAACCAAACGTGGCACACAGATGCCGCAGCGGTAACTTTTTGCAGCAGCTAGATTAGTTCAGCCCTTCAGGTTTCTTCAGTCTAGAGTGCGTTTGGTGTTTTTATATCTAGGTGACATCGTAGGTGCCAGAATTCGCGTTACCAGCGTGTCATCTTGTGACGAAAAATGTTCATTGCCACATTTCAATACTGGGACATATGAAATAAATAACGAGGCAATCATGCACAAGCATGACTTTGAACGCATATACGCATGACACGGGGACTAAGTTCACCACCACACCACGCACAGAAAGTGAACCCTATAGCCATTAAACTACAACGAAACCAGTTGTCTCTTGTTATAGTGGACAAACAGACAAAAGTGCAGGCAGACAGACCAAAATTTTCGCCTTTAAGTTCCCCAAGAAAGACTATCGTGTCTAATACGGAGAGAAACGGGCAGCGCGTACTACGCACTGTGCCCGCTTTGCTGGCCTTTAACCCGGTAGCGGCGTTGACCAATCGGCTAGCCATCGACGACGGTGAAGAAGTGGAAAAAAGGCCTTTGAATCACGTGTTCAAACGTGGCAATGCCCGTTCGCGCTTCATAAAACCATCTATAGGGAGTTCTCCAGCTACCAATGGTAATTTCTTGGGCAGCAGAATATTTGAGAAAAAGTGGGTGAACAGTTGGCAACGCGTGTATTTACTTATTGCAAGCGTACTTTACTACCTTCGCGGCATCTCTTTACTATAGCAAGCAGCTAGCAAAGCTTTAAACTTTTGCCGCTTGTAACCTGGAATGCTTTTTTGGCCTTTTTATCCGGGTAACTTCTAAGCCACATACATTGCTAGACCTCTCCTAAACGCCACCGTATACCTTGCAGTGACCCCGGCAGTGCTTAGGAAATTTTAGAGCAACCTTAATACTGTCGATTACTTTCGAATAAGTATTTCGTACTGTACGACCGTGGTAAGAATGGTGGCGTAGCAGATTTTGGTTTACTTTTATTTACTGCGTGCGGTAAGCTTCGAGTGGCACACCAGCCATTGCAATGCATTTGCTCCAACCCGCAGTATTTCCTTTATGGCACTCAGTCGAAGCGTGTGCCACCAGTTTAGCCCTGACCGCACAGACACGGCGGCGGCCGTATGGCACCCAATGAAGTGCAGCAGCGCCCGAGTCTACCGATCGTTTCGAGTTCCTGTTAACTAAAAAAAGGGAAAGGAACCAACCCCCACGTGGGCCCGCTTGCATTTATGTTGCAAGTGTGTGGGCCTGCCGCCGCTCAGAACTCTTCAGAGACGAGGACAGGACACTGAATAACACATCTGTCATTTCAAGACTCAGCGGCGACTGACTGTCGAAGGCCGCGAAGCACGAGCCACAAGCCTGCCCGTGTCCACAGTCATCTACCATCAGTGCGTTCACCGCTGCTGCTTGCATATATAGTATGTAAAAGTTACACACGCCGCTGCCCATAAGCAATCGTGACGTTGCCTTTCACGGTGTGAGAAGGGGAAGAAAGGGGGCAAAGGTTTGTTGCAGCGTTCACCCTACCTACCAAGTCGATTGTAAGCAGCCTTCCCCCCACCTCCAAGGTTATTGAGCGGAGGGTTCGGCCGCCTTCGCATGAGCACGCCTGTGCCTTGCAGATGCCAGAGTTACAAGGACATTGTAATGCCCCATCACTAAGTTCATTTATTGCGTGCGTACTCTCACGAGCTTTACGCAGGGGCCACAGAGATGTGAGCAGCTGAATGAACATCTATTTGGAGGAAGAAAAAGACGTGGCTCTGTTCGGTAGCTGTTTTTGTGCAGTGTTCGATTTGTGCTCTTTTCTTAGAATATTACGCTGACATCCATTTCTCCCGCTGTGCCAACAAGACGTCGAGTGAAGACTTCAAGAGCTCGGCGCCTTACAGGTACAAGGTTTCTTTATCAAATACTTGGCTAGTACGCGACCACTATGGTGGTTGGTAGCCATCGCCACGAGCCTTATGCTCGTCCAAGTTTGTTAACGCACATGAGGGGTACTGCAGGACACAATGAAATACCTCGCGCCTACAGGCGTGCCCAAACATCATAAAGCCGGCCCATTTGCTCATTCACAACTGTGAACTGGCTCCAGCGAGTACAGCAGCAATGGAAGATGAGGAAGCGGAGAGCAAGAAGCTTCGCTTAGAAGAGAATCTTTTCGACGATAAAATGTCAACACATTACCTAAGTGATGAAGATGACATGGGCGAAGATGAACCATTTACGTTGGTTGCGTATAAGAAGAAACGAGCAGACGGCATCCCAGTCGTCTTTCATCCAACAGCTGAAGGCGCTAGCTTCTGGAAAGTGTTCTCGAAAACATGTGCCTCTGCATTATTCAGACCAGCTTCTAGAGTACTGAGAGATGCAAGGGTTATACCGGCGCAACGGCAAATGAAATACTACCGCCAGGAAGATGGAGGAGTAACGTCGCGTCCACTTCACTCAGCGATTCTGAATTTTCGAGATGACCGCCCGATTCCAGGAAGCATCTACTAAGGATTCACCAGTCACCCAGTGGAAGAATATTTTGGTCCAGCACTTTGGTGCTATAACTGCCAGCGATTCGGACACATGGCGAAAAGTTGCCGTAACACACGGCGGTGTAAGATCTGCTCAGAAGAACACCACCATAAGAAGTGCAAGTCTGTTCTTCAGCCTAGGTGTGCGAACTGTGCAGGTAAACACGCTGCCTCATATTCAGGCTGCCCGCAAAGTAAAGCTGCTGCAAAAATGCGTCGGCATGAGCTTATCCACGGAAGGAAACCGCGCCCCAATGAACCCTCTCCAAACCTCGATATTGTTCATCTTGTAAGTGATCTACCTTAGTGCACACCGTAACAACAGCCGACAAACACGCCAAGAGAAAGCCAAGAGAACCGCCAAAAGCACACCCGAGAGACCACTAACGAGAAGTACATTCAAGTAACCCAACCTACGCGTCAAAGCTGCGAACGCCCACGTGACCTCAGCCGGAAAGTAGCAGAACCGACAGCGCCAGTGTTCGTCCCGGCTACAACATCGAAACGTCACGTCGTTCTCAACAGTACTCAGAAACTGAACCATTCAATGGGGAACGTGCCTCTGCATCAGTTATGCAATTGCTTCTACCAATGCTTTTCGCAGCACTTAAGGCAATCGTGTCTGCTCTACCGGAAGCAAGCAACCTGCCAGAAGTAAAAGTCCTGCTGCCTCTGGAAGCACTATTGTGTCGACAATCCCGATCAAACCTGCGACAAGTAACATATGAATGAGCGCTATAAAAATGTTTCCATATACCAGTGGAATGCCAATAGCCTTCGAGGGAAGTGTTCTGACTTCCGTATACTCCTTTTGCAATATAACTTTCCAATACTTTGCATCCAAGAGGCAAGAATGAATGATTTCCGCCTCTCCAACTACGTCGAAGTGGTCCTAGCAGAGTGCATTTGTGCGTCAGAAAGGACCTACCTTTTCACCAAGTTCAGTCAAGTGATTCGGACTTCCCGGGATTCGTCACTTGCAAAGTATCCTTTGGTGAGCAGTGCGTAACAGTGATCAATTCTTACCTACAACCGTCAAGCCGCGTTTCGGTGGAAGAGCTAACAAATATCTTCAATATTTCTAGTTCATATACATTTATATGTGGAGACTTTAATGTGCGCAACATAATCTGGGGTAGTTACCGATGTGATGCACGTGGGAACATTGTCGAGTGTGCCGCAGACAAATGCAATTTGACAATTTTAAATGACGGCTCCCCGACTTTTCTCCGAGGGCATAATTACTCGAGTTGCATCGATGTAACTATGTGCTCCCAAGATCTAGTTAATGGTGTGGTGGACAACGGATGTAGAAACACGTGGGAGTGACCATTTCCCCATTCTTATAAATGACCCCTACTTGCGAAATGACGACATCAGACGCCACAGCAAACTGACTAAATGGAAAGCTTTTCGCTACCGCCTAACAAACCAAAATAGTGAATTAACGACAGTTGAAAACATTACTGAATTGCTGCAAGATAATGCGAATAAATGTACAAAGAAAGTCCCGATTTCAAAAGACTAAGCTGCAGTCGATGGAGAACATGAACATCTACGAGCCATCAGACGACGTTCAGAAAGGGCGTATCGACGCAGCGGAAGTTTAGAAGCGTACAAAAATGCACAAAAAATCCACAGTGTAATGCGCAGACGACT